TCCAGATCTCCTTATACCTAGGCAATATCATTTTTCCCTGTCTCTTAAATAACCACATGTTCTTTTTGCTTCAGATCATTCCTAGTTTTTTCCCAGAAGCTAAAGAAGAAAATGAGAATGAACTTCCCTTGGGTTTCCTGTTCAAGGTAAGACCCAGCAATCAAAGAGCTGGGTTTTAGGCATCCCCAGCTAATGAGTCATAAAAACCCAGGTATGAATTAAGGGGAGGGTGTTAATTCCAAGCCTTGCCTGCTGAGACCATTGTTGATTTTCTTTCTTTTTTAAACTTTAAATATTATTTTCATCCCTTTCTGTACTATTCAATTAGGAAATGGGAAGGATGGCTGAAGAGGCTGAGATGCCCATTGTGTGCTGCACTATTATTTTCACATTTTATGTTCCAGGGTCAAGCAACTCAAGCTCATACTTCGGAAGATGACAATCATCTTCAGTTTGGAGAAGGAGATTTCATACTTGTGATATCAGACACACAAGCAGAGGTAACACATCTGGGGACTTGCTTGGCATGGCAATTTGAAATACATTTGGCAAAGGAGACTCTAACTTAGAGGTGGGCGTCCCATAATTCTCCCACGTCATACTGAACTTTGACTCCCAGAAGATCCAGCTAGCATGATCAAATCCCTCTGCAACCTCCTACGTGGGATTGATAGACATATTTATGATACTTATCCACTGTAATGTTTCCAACTGCTTCTCAATCATTATGGTTTGGGTATGCTGAGAATTAGTGCCTGGTCTAAAAGTATCCAGTGGCCTTACAGGCCAAATGAAGATTTGGACTTAGGATTTTGCAGACCTAATACAGCATCCATAACTATCTTTTTTTTCTGCCAGTTTGGTGAAACTAAATTCTGAGTACTAAACCCTATTATGGTCTTAGTAAGGCAGTAAATTTATCAGCCCTTCCACCAGGTTCTACTCAAGATGCATCATAATCTACTATGCCCATTGATTTATCACAGTCTGACTGGACATAACTTCTATCTAAAAGATTCTGACAGCTTCCTGCCTAATCCACCAGCTACATCCTCTTGAGTCTGAAAATGTTTTTTTTTTAATCAAAGACTGGCAGCCTTGACCCCATAACTCTTGAAAGAAATTCATGGTCCGTGGGTCACATGCAACCCTCCAAGGAATTTTCTGCAGCTTACAACAATGCTTTCTAGACACTGACAGACAGGTGATGCTCATAGGCTTCCTATACAAAACAGCTCTATCCTCTGGGAATTCTCACCTGGAGGGCACAAGCAATGATCTCAAAGGACAGGAGGAAGAGTGCTACCAAGGCAACAGTCAGATAAGGGGGGCTTGAGCCCAAGCTAAAACAATAACTTGAGAAAAACATCTCAGAAGAAGACGCACATCTAGACTTGCAAGACTCTATCACTATGGCTTTTACAATAAAAGTAGCCCTGATATGTAGGACATTGATTTCTTCATCTACCTGATTGGGCTGATATTACCTGCTGATAGATTTTGTGGCAAGTGTTACTTCTGAGGTGATGCCTAAGCTTCTGAGCAGTGGCAACAGGGAGGCAACTCTTGGACCAGAAGGATGGGCCATGTGGCTGAACTGCCAGAGGGAGGGAAATCAGTATAGTTGAAGAGGAATACCAAATCTGTTCACCCTGTATGAGGGTCTCTCTGCCTAGCAAGGAGCAGGGAGGAGCGTGCACACAGGTATTATCCTCTATCCAATTCAGAGAGAAGAGAAGGGAAAGTCAATGAGGGAAACAGCAAAGTAAAGCCAGATCTCTCTGCTCAGCAACAAGAGAGAAGAAAAAGTGATGCAAGATTTGTGCAGCTCTTGGGAAGACAGATTCCTAGATTCTATCACTCAACATATTGAAAAATATGTAGGATGATATAATAATATCATAGTAAAAAATATGATATTGAAAAAAATACAGTGTGTATCAACCCAGTAAGAAAAGCAAATTAAAAACTGGGGCCAGCTATGAAATAACAGTCTTGGGGTTTTTTAAAAAAATGTATTTAATATGTATGTCTTTAATAGTAATACCATTTGCCAGTAAGTCATAATTTTGTACATTATAAATGTACAAAAAGGTTTCAGGGTCATGGCCCTTGGGCTAATGAACTAGTCCTCATGCACACCCATGGTAGTTTTGAGTTCGGAACCCCTAGGACAGTTCAGGAGGGGCAGCCACTATACTGAACTGCAGAAGAGAGATTAAAGGAAGAGCACTTTCAGTGGGTGAGTTGACTTCTTGGTCCAGTGTTGAGCTCCGCATAGTATGGTGTGATGTATGCCTTGCCTTCTTCAAGTCTTGAGCCTTGGGCTTTCTCCTCCTTGCAAAGCAGGACCTCCGTTTGACAAAATATAAGGTGTAATTTGGAGTCACCTGTTCCGCAGCTGTTCTTGCTGAAAATGTCATGCTGTTTAGAGAGAGTACAGAACTGCTATAGCTGTTGCCATTAGTTTTTAGATTTATTTACTTGTCTCTCTTTGTATGTTTGTGTCTGATATGACCACAGCCCTCCATTAATCATTAACTCTCCCTTTAGCAGAAACAACACTGAGCAGTTCTTTCCTATAAAAGTAGCTATGTGTGTGTGTGTGTGTGTGTGTGTGTGTGTATTTTGTGTGTGTGTGTGTGCGTATATATGTATGCATACGTTATGGCACCAAGCTAGAAACTGGGAGACCATGAATTATAGTCCCTCTATAGATACAAAGACAGCCAGGTGATTTGGGGCCAGTCTCTCAATCTCAGCCCTTGGAAGGAGGCAAGGGCAAGCCACTTCCAAATGTTGCCAAGAAAACTGCAGGGACTACTAGTCAACCCTTATAAACATTGCACTGTTAGCATAATGATTACTATCACTTGTAATGTCCTACATTTACCATCTTTGAAGACTTGTTTTCTATGCATAAGGATTCACGTCACCTTTCCAAATTTCTAAATTATAACAAATATGACAAACAAATTATAACACATTATAACAAACAAATTTCACAATTATAACAATTGTGCTTATGGGAAAGCTCTGACTGAAGTTTGTTTGCTTGTTTTCTTTTTCTAGGGAAAAGGATTTTGGATGGGAATAAAAGAAAGTGACTGGAAGGAGAACCAAGACATGCTACAAAAAGGCATTTTCCCCCAAGTCCTCATCAGATCTGTCCCTCTGAAATAAGCTCAGAGGTTGAGGAAGCAACGGAATGAAGGAAGAAAGAGAAAGTTGCATTTTCCAAAATCTAGTTTTCTGTAATTATTAAATATTTCTTTTCCTTCAGGCCAGCTGCCCCATGTCAATATAATACTATGCAGGTGGCAGTATTTATGATATATGAATCTTTGAATAATATGAATTCCATGTATTATAAGTCAGAAACTGGGACTCTTTGCAAGAAATTTGTCCTTCCGAGCCCTCTGCCTCAGAAGTACTTTTCTAAAATGGAACGTCACCATAAAGAGTCCTATTATAGAATAGCTGGTAGCCTACTTTGCAGGATATGGTTGAGACTTTTGGCCGATTTATCCACCCTGTCTCCTCAGAGAAGTCCTCCATTCAAGCTAGTTGCAATTTCATTGCATTCATCTCTACTGCACGGGTGTCCAACTCGATCGCGTCAGGTGACGTATTGTGACGTATCGCAACAATTTTTGCCTTTGCGGAAATGTGACGCATCCAGCCCATGGGCCGCCAGTTTGACACCCCTGATCTACTGGAAAGTAATACAATTAATAACTGCAGTTCAATCATGCTATTGTAGAATAACTTAGATGATTATTCAGAGAGTGGGAAAAGTAAGAAAGATGATTAACTTCTATTTTGTAAAGAGGAGAGGGAGGAGAAACATAGGGAAACTTTACATGATGATATGATCACTTTGGATAGGGAAATCACACATTAAAGTTCATATATAAAACATATTGCACAGAAAAAATATATATACTGTATATAAGGAAAAAGACTCCTTTCCCAAAATGTAACTTTGTGTGCGCTGGGACTTTTCTCCCGTTTATGAGGAATCACTTAATTATGCCGTATATCTGTTTGTAGTTTGAAGCAGTTACTTTTTTTTTTTTTTGTATATATGAATCTCTAATCAGGGGCTGGCATTAAGGAATAAAATAGAGGATGTTTATAAAATCCTTTTGAATCCTGGAACTCCCATGCTCAATTGCTTGTGAACCCTGTTTTTCCAAGATTACCCATTTTGTCATGTCGTCAAGCACATAATATTCTGTCTTCTCTTATTTTAGACCATAGTTTTAACCAGAAATGTCCGGGTTTGGGGCACCTACAAATGAGGCATTAGGATTACAGCTGTCATCTGTTGCTTGCTTGAAGCATTTTATTATGATCGTGGGTAGTAATCATTGATCGACTTGTCTCCTCTACCTTGATCACTTGGATACCTTTCGAGAGGTATTGTAAATACATCTGTACCTGTAGCAGTTAATACAAACGTAGTTCTTTTCTGCCTAACACATAATAAAATATGCCTGCATTTCAAATTCAAACACCTGCATCTGATTCCTTCAACCTGGTGCTCTATTATATCTTTGGAGGTGTAATTGCTTGCTGACTTGAGGAGAAGCTAATTTGGGGAAGACTGATCTCATCTATAGTATATTGAGAAGCATTTTCTGTGCAGAGTTGCTGAATGGTCCCCAAAACATTAGCAGCTCACTACTTTATATGTCCTGCGGATCACAAATGACATATCTCCAGAACAAATGATGGTTTGGGGCTACATAAGCTGTTCTGGCTTGCAGGAATCTTCCATCCTCCCCCCCCCCTCTTTAATTTTGGCCACCTCAACAGCTTTGAATAAAGTGCCTCCGGCTGAACCAAACTGTCCTGCATTATTAGTAAGTGACATAAGAACATTATGGGCCTCATCGGCATTACAAAGAGTTAAGGAATAAGCGTTCTGATGACTTGGCTGTTTATTATCAAGGTAGTGAAACTGGAAAAGTGAGATGGGCAGGGGAACGCCTTTGCCTACTCACTAGAAAACTAGGAAGCAGCTATAGGAAGAAACTAGAGTGAGAAGAAATATCCATGCTAGCTGGAGCCGGGCAAGAAATTCAACAAATTTGTCAAGCCAATATTATTTCCCCACCGTCCGGGATTGCTCCAATCAGGTAAGAACTGGTTAGGGAATCAGTTTAACCCCAGGATTAATAGAAAATAAAATTATTTCTGGATCTGCGATAGTATAAATGCTCTGAATTATGTTTACACATAAATTGAACTAGCGCTGTTTTCAAGCATGGTCTCCAGCACACTAACGGGAATGTAAAATACATGGACCACTAGCTTCATACTGTGTGCTGGTTATCCACCTTCCCCAATCTTGTTCTTGTCTGCAGGGTTGTTGTTGTTTTACTGAGATTCCCATAAGGTCCAGCCACTTAACATTTCTTAAATGTTGCCATATACTTTTGATGAAAAGGGGGTGAACAGAAAGCTTTGAAACCTGTAGAGGTAAAACATTAAGTGAAGGCTTTGATGCAAAACTTTTCTCTTTTGTTCTAATTGCTTTTTGATACGGTGGGGTAGTGATAGGGGAATATAAAAACAAATCAAGTGATTTAGGCCTTTGCTATCAAATTCAATATTTATAATTGCATGCTTTTCAAATCTGGCATCCATCAATGTGAATCATTTTTATTTCATGAATTAATGAGAAATATAAATAAGAAGTTGGAAGTGTAGAAGAATTACTAAGAATGTTTCATTCTATGGAACTGATTTCACTTTTGCTTAAAAAACAACCTAGATGTGTGAGGATATTTTTAATATGCAAAACACTTAATTTACATCGGTCATTTTAGATCAATCCCTCCATCTCCAGTTGAGTGATAAAAGAGTGCTGATCAATTACACAAGGATATGATATCATGGATACAGGAAAAAAAATTATTCTCAAGCTTATAGCATTGTATCTCCAGAACTGAAATCCTGCACTCCTTACTAGTAGCCATGCTACTATTTATGTACAATTTTCTAAGATGCAATTGCAGCATTGTCTTCCTATCCACATATTTTTTTTAAAAATTCCTTTTCTTCAAAAACTACTTTGTGAGAGAACAATTGGAAACAAAGGAAGAGGAACAAGAAGCGATAAGCATTTTGGAGAGGAAAGGAGACAATCAATTTATTAGTTAGTTGTAATTAATTGATATAGCCATGATACTCAGTGATAAAGGGTGCAACGTTCCTAGCTCTATTCAAAAAATTAACAAGGAACCAATGAGCAAATCTGCTCATCTACACAACAGGCCCTTTGATAAGATGTTTAGCTGACATATATGCTACCATTTTGCACATCTGGCTAGAGAGCAGTAGATAGGGAGCAATTTCTACACTGCAGATGGTACTTGCTTTCCTTGGCTAATAGGGTAGTTTCCTGTTCTTTTGTAATTATTAATATCTTTCATATTTCACTCCTGGACAACGTAAGCAGAAAAACCAAATGCTGCAATAAACATATATTTGATTAGTTTGGTTTTTTTCCAAAATTGTGTTAAGTCTACCAGAATTGCCCCCCAAAATGGAAAACATTCAGATGAATACATGTGGTTTGCATATATCAGTGATTTACTGAACTAGTCAAATAATGCTGTTCAAATTTTTCTCAGTGGATTGTGCTATTTGTCCATGCAGAATCTGGGTTCATCCAGTAGTTCAAAACCAACATTTGGAAACAAGCATATAACAAAATCATCCTCATCCTCATCATTGGAATTCAATAATTAAAACCAGGTTTGAAGTCTTGAAAGAGATACATATGAAGGAAAGGCCAGCTTTAAAAATCTACTTTATAAACTTTCTTGAAGGTCTTGGACCAAACTCATAAAAACAAAATCACACAAAGGTACTCCCATAATTCAGAAAACTCTGTTGCTTTTCCTCCCAACCAGCATTACCACATACCTTGACAGTGACCTAAAGGTCTTAAAATATGGGAATGCTTTGCATGCAATTTGAACTTCTGAATAAAAGGTGGAATATAAATCTTATAAGTAATGACTAAAGTGTTTAGATTGATGAATGATTCTTTTGTTAACCTATGGTTCTTCAGAGAAGGCTTTTATTCTATAATGGCTCTACTCGGACGATGAAATTCCACACACACAAAAAATGATCATCTTCCATGTATCATCTTCCATGTTCCATATTTCCACACTGACTTTTCTATCTTTTACCCCTCTCAACACATGCTCTCACACAAGATGGAATACACTGGTTGTGAGATGAGGTAATGGTTGGAGCCATTTGTCTGGAAGGATCTCAGAAAGAATTAAGTCCGCAAACCATAATTAGTACTTTGAAACAGACAAATCCAAATTGGTAAACAGTACTGTTGACACAAAGAGATGCTGTGTGTTCATATTTTCTGTTCCTGTTGGCATTTGGGAAGCTGCTTGGTGGGTCAGTTAGAATTTTCAATTAACAGTAAATACCTGATGTTATTCTAGTGTACAGATAAAAATGTAAATTTTTTTATATACAAATTCAAAAATAGATGCCAGAGTGAGATTCGGGGTTAAATTTCATGCTTAAAAATGATGCTTTTTCTAGTTTTTAAAAATCAAGCTTTTTTTGGTATCTGGGGAAGGAAATTTCTGATGCCGCAGTCAGGGATTTCTGTGCTCCGGGAGGCAAATTTTTTTTTTATGCAAATTCAAAAACGGATGCCAGAGTGAGATTAAAAATGATGCTTTTTCTAGTTTTTAAAAATCGAGCTTTTTTTGGTGTCTGAAGTAGGAAATTTCAAAGATTTCTGTGCTCCAGGAGGCGAATTTTGACCCAAATGCAAAAACGGATGCCACAGTAATATTCGAGGTTAAATTTCATGCTTAAAAATGGTGCTTTTTCTAGTTTTAAAAAATTGAGCTTTTTTGGTGTCTGGAATAGGAAATTTCTGATGCCGCGGTCAGAGATTTCTGTGATCAAGGAGGCGAAATTTTTTTTTGACCCAAATGCAGAAACGGACGCCAGAGTGAGATTCAGGGCTAAATTTCATGCTTAAAAATGGTGCTATTTCTAATTTTTAAAAATTGAGTTTTTTTGGGTGTCTGGGGTTTGAAATTTCTGATGCTGCAGTGACAGATTTCTTTGATCCAGAAGGCGAATTTTTTTTTTATATACAAATGCAAAAATGGATGCTAGAGTGAGATTCGGGTTTAAATTTCATGCTTAAAAATGGTGCTTTTTCTAGTTTTTAAAAATTGAGCTTTTTTTGGTGTCTGGGGAAGGAAATTTCTGATGTCGCGTGTGGTCAGGGATTTCTGTGCTCCTGGAGGCAAAAAATCTTTTCAACGAAATGCAAAAATGGATGCCAGAGTGAGATTCGGGGCTAAATTTCATTCTTAAAAATGGTGCTATTTCTAATTTTTAAAAATTGAGCTTTTGGGGGTTTCTGGGGTTTGAAATTTGTGATGCCGCGGTGAGGGATTTCTGTGTCTGGAAGGCGAATTTTCGTTTTGATCCACATCCAAAAACAGATGCTAGAGTGAGATTCGGAGTTAAATTTCATGCTTAAAAATTGTGCTTTTTCTAGTTTTTAAAAATTGAGCTTTTTTGGTGTCTGGGAAGGAAATTTCTGACGCCACGGTGAGGGATTTCTGTGTCCAGAAGGCGAATTTTTTTTTGACCCAAATGCAAAAACGGACACCAGAGTGAGACTCGGGGTTAAATTTCATGCTTAAAAATGGTGCTTTTTCTAGTTTTTAAAAATTGAGCTTTTTTTGGTGTCTGGGGAACGAAATTTCTGACGCCACGGTCAAGGATTTCTCTGCTCCTGGAGGCAATTTTTTTTTTGACCAAAATGCAAAAATGGACGCCAGAGTGAGATTCGGGCTAAATTTCATGCTTAAAAATGGTGCTTTTTCTTGTTTTTAAAAATTGAGCTTTTTTTGGTGTCTGGGGAAGGAAATTTCTGATGCCGCGATCAAGGATTTCTCTGCTCCTGGAGGCAATTTTTTTTTTGACCAAAATGCAAAAACATGCTAGAGTGAGATTCGGGGCTAAATTTCATGCTTAAAAATGGTGCTATTTCTAGTTTTTAAAAATTGAGCTTTTTTTGGTGTCTGGGGAAGGAAATTTCTGATGCCGCGGTGAGGGATTTCTGTGCTCTAGAGAGGTAAAAAAAATGTTTGACCCAAATGCAAAAACGGACGCCAGAGTGAGATTCGGGGTTACATTTGATGCTTAAAAATGGTGCTATTTCGAATTTTGAAAAATTGAGCTTTTTTGTGTATCTGGGGTTTGAAATTTCTGATGTCGCGGTGAGGGATTTCTGTGACAGGAAAGCGAATTTTTTTTTTTATCCAAATGCAAAAACGGATGCTAGAGTGAGATTCGGGGCTATATTTCATGCTTAAAAGGTGATATTTCTAATTTTTAAAAATTGAGCTTTTTTAGGGTTTGAAATTGCTGTTCTCACGGTGAGGGATTTCTGTGTCTGGAGGGCAATTTTTTTTTTTACCCAAATGCAAAAACGGACGCCAGAGTGAGATTCGGGGTTAAATTTCATGCTTAAAAATGGTTCTTTTTCTACTTTTTAAAAATTGAGCTTTTTTTGGTGTCTGGGGAAGGAAATTTCTGATGCCGCGTTCAGAAATTTCTGTGATCCAGGAGGCGAATTTTTTTTTGACCCAAATGCAAAAACGGATGCCAGAGTGAGATTCGGGGTTAAATTTCATGCTTAAAAATGGTGCTTTTTCTAATTTTTAAAAATCGAGCTTTTTTGGTGTCTGGGTAAGGAAATTTTTTTTTTGACCCAAATGTAAAAACGGACGCCAGAATGAAAATATGGTTAAATTTCATACTTAAAAATGGTACTTTTTCTAGTTTTTAAAAATTGAGGTTTTTTTGGTCTATGGTGCCGGTCCTGGTTTCCAACCTGGTGCATTAACCATTATACCTAAATCTCTCTCTCTTGTTTTGTTACCAATTGCCTATGCAGGACATCCCAAGAATGATATTCAAAAGGTGACTTGTCCAGAAGCTTAACAGGAGGGGATAATGGTAGGAGTGGCAACATTTTTAGTCAGTACAGTCTCATCTAGTCTTGAGTAGCAGAACCTTCTCCTAGCTGTGGGAGTGGTAGATTGCTCTGCTTCTATAGATTAAACTATAATTTCACAATCCCTATCACAAAGAAGGATAGCCAGGGTGGGAGGGTGAGTGTTTCCAAAAGTAATTTGTCTTCCTGTTTTTCTGTTCTTAATACAGAATGGTGGTAAGAACACTTAGTAGCATCAACCTTTGAGTAGCAGAGCTACTCCAGATGCCTGTAATCCAGCAGCCGAAAGAGAATGGCAGCTGGCATATTATTGTTCTTCATTGATAAAATATGTGACATATTTTTACCAGACAGTCTGAAATCCAATAGGACTGTACAATAGTATCTCTAATTCCTCAAAAGATGTGCAACTCTACCTAGGAGTGACTTAATGCCACACAGAGAACACATTTATTTCCCAAGCTATATATCCAAATTAACTGCGTATAAATATACATACCCATCATGTTATTACTTGTTGGGGGTAAGCAGGGTTATGCAGAAAAGAAGAAAGAAATAGTATGTCAAAAATTACAAGAAATATAACAATATCTACTTACAATAACCATTCATTCTGCCCTTTCATATTTTTCTGTCCCTAAAACCACCGCTACTTTCACCATCCCCACACATTTACATTTTGCATTTTGTTCTTTTTTTCAATATCCATTTTTTGGCATTGCCCAATAACTCATCCAGCACTCTATTTAGTAATAACTGCCTGTTAGTCTGCTTTTCAAAGCATATTGTTATATAATTGCACGCTGTCCAGTTGCATGATTCTACAGCTTAAAACTACACCAATGAGAATTGTTTTGAGGAATACTAAGGGCATCACTTTAGGTCAAATATTAGGATAAGAATAAATATATAATATTTATTAATATATAAACAAAAATGAATAAGTAGTTTAAATTTGCACTGCAGTTTTTCTCAGACCAGAGTGTAATTTCTTACTAGGTGAAGGGGGGGTTGTATTCGCGATAGTATAACTTAAAGATGGCTCAGAGATCACAATCTTGCATGTAAATGTCCTGATTTTGGAAAAAAAGGGCCTGAAGATTGAATGAGCATAATATACACTGGTAAATTCAGATACCACGATGGCACCAGCTGTCAATCCAAGAGCAGATCATTTCCTTTCATTCATCGTTGCTACATTTTCAGAAGTTAAAGAATCCCAAAAGATGCTTGCACTCAACATTTGGGATTAGCCATCATTTTGCGATCATAATGTGAGGGTGAAATGGTGGATGGCATCAGTTCTAAAATTGGGAAGGACATTTTCCCTGTGAACGTGATTTCTGTACCTAAGAATAAATGTTCTCTTGACAACTTGATTATATGCCTTACAGTAACTTATAAAATATTACAACTCAATTTGCTTTTGTTTTATCTTATTGATACTTAATCCTTCATTCCATTTTAAGATTCTTTTAGATTTCATTGTTCACTGGACTTTAATGCATTTTTTATTTCTCAAGGTTTCATGTCCACCCTCTCTCTATGTCATTCACTTAATAAGACAACAGGGGCTGCACGATCTCAGAGGTGATGAAGAATGCCCATGTCATCCTCTAGATAAAAAGGGATGACAAATCTTACCAATCTGGAGAGTAAATGGAGGAGTGGTGTCAATAGCAAACAAGGGAACAGCACTAAATACTGATCCAACCCACGGAACCAGTGGCTGCCTTTTTCATGTAGATAAAAAGATCATTGCCGGCTTTCTTCAGCTACAATCAGCAATGGCATAATTAAACTGGCATAATTAAACTTACAGTTTATGGATACAACTTTGTCTCTTAGAAAGTCTTCACATATGCTTTTGAACCTTCTCATCACTTCCACAAACACGGTAGCTTGTGGTTGTTGTATTCATTTTTTACTATACTAGTATATTTAAATCATCCCTTGATCGTATTCTCATGGTGTTTCATAAAATGAACCAAACAACTAAAATGTAAAACAAAATGAAACATTTTAAGTAATTACGTTAAGTAATACTTAAATAAAGTATTAAAAGACATACAGCTATTTATTTTTTACAGCATAGCATCGTTTAAACTGTATTTAAAATATCTCAGAAAATAAAAATGGTCTTCCATGCCAAAATGACTATGAAGTAGACACATCACAAACTACTCTGGCTTCATTATGATTATTGGCGCTGGATAAAATGTCCAAAGGAAAGGAGCATGACCCATGTGGACATTCATCCTCTCTAATATATCATTTTAAAAAGTGATGAGTTTTAAGACTCAGATTTCGGAATGCCTTTCGAACATTTGAAATTGGAAATAATAATTAATATGGAGAAATGATTAATGGAGGGTAGCTAATCTTGCCATTCCAGGTTCCATTTCGCATACAATTTCTTTCGAAAGGGTGCTGTTTCAAACTAGTTCCCCTTTCAAGCTTTCCTGTGATGGATTACGAGATGGGTACTTTCAATGAAGTCTTGTGGTCTTGTTAGTCTCATGACACACCAAGCACAAGGTGTTTCCTATGGCTTTGCAGCAGCAGTCTGATGCTCAATTTTTCCAATCCTTCTGTTCCTAACTTCCTGCCCTCCTCTCTCCTAGGCCCAGACCAGAAGGTGTGGCTTCTGCGTGCATTTGTACGGCTAGTATAGGCCTTTGATGGGGCCTGACAGGGTCCCTCTGCAGATCTGAGTTATTGGGACAAGAGGAAACAGGACCAAGAGGTAAGTGAGGCTTCTTCCTCCTCCTGTCCTTGCTGCTCTTCTCTGCCTTTACTTGCCACCAAACTGGATCCGACCACCATTGAACCAAAACAGCGCTGCAGAGGCCTAGAGACTAGGCTAGATAGTGTCTTACATGCTTCTGCCCTCCCTGGATCATTTATTATAGGCTGGGCTCAAACAGCACAGTGAATTAGGGCAGTGGTTGCATTTGCACAACTGGCTAAATGTGTATGGCTTAACACGTAAAGCCAATCTAGCCTATGAAGTTTATTGTATAGGTTTGGCATGAGCTCAAACAGTGAGCTAAATATGTAACCTAGTTAAATATCTGGGATGAACTCAGACATAGTCAATCCACATACTCCTAGATCCCTTCTATTTAGGGGGTAAAGAAACCTCCAGAATTCAGGTTACCTCACCCCATAAATATTCAATTATCCTTTTTCCTGGTTTGTCCTTTATTTTTTCCAAGAAAATATGGCCACTGGCCGAGCGGTTTTAAAACATTAACCAGAAGGTTGGTGGTTTGAGAGCAAGTACCGCATGATAGAGTGAGCTCCCTTTTTTGCTCCAGCTCCTGGCAGTTTGAAAGCATGCTAATGCCAGTAGATAAATAGATATTACTTTGATGAGAAGATAACAGCGTTCTGAGCACTTTCGGCATATAGTCATGCTGGCCGCCTGACCACAGAAGCATCTTCGGACAATGCTGGCTCCCTTGGCTAAGAAACAGAGATGAGCGCTGCCCTCTAGAGTTGGACATGAGTGGCAGGGGAAACCTTCACCTTTACCTTTTTACTGCACCTAAAATAGCAGTTAGCTTTGAAAGCATGGCATCCTTGTTTGTAGTTAGTTCCCTTTTTCCTGTTGAATATATATTGAGCTAACCCAGTAACCCACTCCAAATGTTAACTCTGGACATACTGTAGATCTGCCACTTGTTTCCTCCTATTGCAGAATTCTTGGAACAGATGGTGGCTTTATTTTTATTTTTTTTGTAGTCATCCTTATCATTCTATGAGTCAGCTGCTTTTTGCCATCTATCCTGTTCTTCCTCTCTTAGCTTTTCACCTTTTAGCCTTTACCTAAACTAATGACTTCTTGCTGTGGTGTTCCTGGTCTTATCTCAGAACTGTCCTGTCTTAAATTTTTCTACTGTGCAGTTCTCTCCTCTGATCCCATGTTTATCTCTTTTTATACCACTCATTTCTCACAGATTTTTTTTATGATCTGTGAGTCTTTACATGTTGATATATTTGATTTTCATTTTTGTTTTAGAAATTCTCCTTCCTCCATTCTTTATTAACTCCTTATGATAATCAGCCCCTTGGGTTCTTTGTTCTATTATCCTTGCTCTAAATGTATTACATGCCAGACTACTTCTGAAAATAATTTAAAAGCTTCAGTCAGAGCAAGATGCAGTAGTCAGAGACGTGATTATTTCTGGTTGCTCTGATAACTTGCCAATTTTAAAAGAACTTCACAGACTATTTGCTTATAGTCGCTGTTCAGGAGTGCTGGTGTATGCTTTTAACCGGTACTCTCTTTCCTCCCTTTTTGTCTGTGATCTGTCAAAGTCACAGAAAAAAACTGCACTGCTAATAATTGCTTAAAATTTTAATGAGTAGTCAGCTCCTTGGGGTGTGCTCCTTACTAAGTCTGTTTAGAAATTCAGCTGCTATTGCTTAACAGTTCTAGTCCTGCCTTAGGCATGGAAACCAGCTGGGTGACTTTGAGACAGGCAGCATCTCTCCACCATAAGAAGGCACTGGCAAGAAAAATGTTGCCAAGAAAACTGTAGGGTTGACCTCATGGAGCTAATAAAGTCCATGGGCCGTACTTTTTAATAAGCTTGTTTAAAAATGCAAGCAGGGTTACTAAAGTTACCGGTCTGTAATTTATATAGAGGAGGAGGAGGAGAAAGAGAAAGAGAAGGAGAAGGAGAAGGAGAAGGAGAAGGAGAAGGAGAAGGAGAAGGAGAAGAAGAAGAAGAAGAAGAAGAAGAAGAAGAAGAAGAAGAAGAAGAAGAAGAAGAAGAAGAAGAAGAAGAAGAAGAAGAAGAAGAAGAAGAAGAAGAAGAAGAAGAAGAAGAAGAAGAAGATATTCATAATATCCACTTGCACACTCTGATCAGCAATCAGGATGAACTGATAAATTTCTGTTCATAGCATTACCTGGATAACAGTATTATCTTTTGGTTTTCTTTCTTTTGGTTTCCACAGCTTCAAAAGTTTTTACAGTTTTAAAAGTCAAAACACCTTAACGAAGAAGGGTGATGCCATGGCAGCTATTCCAGCAACATCACCAGCCACAGGTAAGTGCACTCAGGAATAAGGGGATGATAAAATAGAAAGCTTTTTAGAGAAAGGAAAACTTGTTATTTTAATGTGTATAGGGTATAGTAGGGTGAAGAATAAGCTTACTCACAAAATGATGGATGTGGAAAATTATTTTTCCCCTGGCCCCCTCATTTCAGCAGCTCAAAGTATTTATTGTTGAGAACCCATGGATAGGATTTAAAAGTATATGTACAATATCTAACATATTTAGCCATTTTATAATAAATTATGGTAGTAAGGGAGAAGGTGATTATTTTTTTTCACTTTTAAATCAAGACATGGAGGTGGCTGTAGTGTACAGAAACAAAGGAGAACATATTCAGGAAACATCATCCTTATAGTTGGGCCCACATAAACCCATAGTTGATTTTAAACATGGTTTGCTGAATATAGCACATAAGCCATACTGTAATACATAACTCTAAGCTACAAATCATGGTTCCATTCCATTTAGATTTTGTTTGTAATGAGAATTTTTTATAATAAAAGATAAAATATAACTTGCAAATCCGAAACAGTTGATTTCACCATTTGCAAGTTAAATAACATAGTCGTCTAGCTTTTTAAAATTTGCAACTGCAAATAAAGTTATGTAATTAGTGATATCAATATTGCAGAATACAAGAGAACAGCTATAGATTTTCTCAGTTGGGGTCCTGCGCAATATTCTTCTAAACCAGTGGATAAACAAACATTTCCCTGGAGTTGGAATTCAATTCCCTAAGGTTTCTGAAGATATGCAGATAAAAAGCTGGTTAAATATTGGAAGCTTAGCATATCTCCCATTATAATAATCAGAGGCTACAATCAGAAAGCATAACTCTGCCTGCCCACAACTAAAGAAACCCAGTTCCAGTGGCAAGCCTTTGAAATTGAGCCCTGTTACCTCTACTGAGCAGCAAATACCAAAGTGTAGAAGAATGGCATGTTCACTATCCTCTACAAAAAACAACAATATAGCTATATTTGCCCTGATGGAAAGAAATGGAAATCCTTTTTCAGTAATGACAGCTGCCGTTGCGTAGGCAGACAGTGCTAAGATTTATCCTATAAATATATGCTGCACTTTTTTTCAATTCACCTAAGTTTGCCTAAGTCCTAAATTTTTGCTCCACAAGGAAGGCATGCCATTGTTTTCTCCACAAACATTCTCAATGCAGGATAGACCAAAGGGCCCAGGTTTTGTCTGTCTGTGTGGTTGTTGCTCTGTTGGCTTACTGGTTTGCTTCTGACATTCTCAGAATCTGACTTCAGAAAAGTGAATGCTAAAGTACTTAGAGAGAATGATATATTCCGCTCTGCAGTATTCTTTAATTTATCAATTATAGATGACAAGATAATAGACCACCTATGGCGTACAAGCTGTATGACTTTGATACATGTATTGTGGACATTTGTGCAGCAGGAAGATAACAATATTGCATCAGGACATCAGCATCTAAACATCACAAATTATAGTCTCTGGACATTTTGCAGTATGCAAAATGACACCAGTATGTAATTCACAACATTTGCACAATAGCTTAATTCATAGTTTTCTTACCACTGTGGCTTCTACTAGAAGCCCAGATCAAAGAAGCTACATTACTGTTTAGTGTAAATTGTGAGCCCAGCCTCTTGCCCAAATGATAAGAATGTAGATGTCTCTATGTGTAAAAATATTTGTAGAAATGCTTGGTTTTGGTCAATTTCCATCCTCTTTCATTTTTTAAAACATAAGGAAGCAGTGTTTCTCTGCTGCTGAAACAGCCACTAGAAGAGAGGACTCATCATACCCTATATTGACTCTAGGCAATTTGGTTGGCATTTCCTCTGTTCCCACTAGGCTTGATTCACACATAAATTAATTGTTAGATATCAGCCCCTGTACTGAGCCGTGGTTTTTAACCATGGTTTCCTGACTGAGCCAAAATAGGCTATGTTCATAAAAAGCCTGGTTTGCAAACCATCCAATATTAGGGTTGCCAGGTGTCCACTATTTGAGTGGACAGTCCACTTTTTTCACATTATGTTCACTATTTTTTTTCACAAAATAGTGGACTTTTTTTTTATTCAAAAGCTTTATGATGAAATGGTACGTAATCTAAAGCTGTACAGTCTACTTTTTTTTACTACTTAACACCCCCCCCCCCGCTTGTCCGCTATTTTTTGGAAGCAGACCTGGCAACCCTATCCAATATTGAAAGTAGCACATGATCTTAAGAGACTAGCCATCCCACTGTTCCTTTGGCGAGTAGCTATAATAATTTGCAATAAATGTCACAGAGTATGTTACAGCACCCAAAAGTTATTTGAAAGGCAGACAAAAGTTATCATTTCTAATGTCATTTCTTTATTTGCTAATAAGAGGGCCTCTCTTTAAGAGAGTTGGGCAGTTCAGAAATGTGATAGATGATAGAGATTGTGTGTGTGTGTGTGTGTGTGTGTGTGAGAGAGAGAGAGAGAGAGAGAGAGAGAGAGACAGAGACAGAGACAGAGACAGAGACAGAGAGAGATAAATGCAACATAGATTGTGAGCTTTGCATGCATAGGAACACATCTATTCATTCTGCTTTTTTTTTTCCTTTTGGCGTCTTCTCTGACTCCATTTAACTTACTCCAAATAATTACTGGATGAACTGACTATAATGTCATTGCATGTTTGCAGTCGTTCTAATGTCTCAAGAAAAGCTCAGAGTTCTTCAGAGAGAGCAGACTATTTATTTGAAAATAAATATCTCTTAAACAACCTAGGTTTTCACGTCATGCTGAACCACTGTTGGCATGACCATTGTTTACTGAATAAATGACAAATAAACTACAATGAAACAGAATTCACCCACTGAATCTGCTAAGTTAAAACCAAACTATATTATTGCTTAGCATATGATGCCAAACTAAGGCTGGTTCCAAGACAGACTTCAAGTCAAAATGTGGTTTGCTTGTTTATATTGTTTTTTAAACCTGGTCAGTGTGATTTATAAACTATGGGTTACAGCTTAAATTGGATATAAATTTCACCATTTATGTTCTAGTAAAAAAAAACCTGAGGTTAAACAAACATTATCTTAGCATGTTGTACATACATAGTCTAAACACTGTGTATTGTTAAACCGATGTTCATTTCTGCATAGGTGAAAATGCTGGATAAACTGGAAAGAGAGCTTTGCAAGAGACAGGATGAAAAGGCATAATTCCACACATCAGTTTTCGCTAACCAGACATTAGATAGATTGCTGTCGTGCATAATGTTTTGGTTTGTGCCTACTGATGATTTTGATTGGATGGAGAGGGTATAAATTAGTGCTTCACAAATATAATTCAGTTTTGCAGCAGGGGAAAGGAAGAAAGGGTGAGATGTGTATATGGCTGGATCCCTTGGACTTGGCCACCGTTTGATAAGATCCCTCGATGTCATACATTCTTATAAAGAGTTTGGCTCCCAAATAACTGGCAAGTCTTAGAAATCTTTAGAAATGAGTTGCTGGCAGAACATTTGTTCCTGCTGGCAATTCCACTGTTGTACATTATTAGATATTCACTGAGTAAGCCTGATTACCTAAGCCCTGAAACACTACAGAACAGACCTGTTTCTGCTTTGTAACTGGAGCCAAAGGTTGAAGGCTTTTATTGAGCAACTCTTCCATCAGTCTCAATGGCTTGCAGTCTGGCCAGTTATTCCACCAAAAGTACTTATCCCTAATTATTTTAAGTCCTGGCTTTGCAATTGTTGCTGCATATTATGTCTCAACATCTCATCTTATTTAGTGTACACTTTTTTTTCCTGTAGAAAAGAAACTTGGGTGTTTTGTGTGTGTGTGTGTGTGTGCACGCGCGCAGGATGGATGCACACCTACTTCTGGAAGATGCAGTATACTGTATTTACTCTCATTCCTTCAGCAAGGATATCATTGCCCTTTCCTGCTCTTCTTGTCAGTACAGCTCTGGGAAGTTGGTTAGCCTGAAAGTAACGGGGGGGGGGAGCCTATTGCGAGGTCATCCTTCCCCTCTTCCATTTTCATGATGGAAGGGAATTTGAATCTGGACTTCCTGGTTCAAATCAAGCATACCATCTGCTGCTTATATTGATATCTTCCTCTTTTCTCCTCTATGAAGGGGTGCTGACCAGTCCGTTCATGAAGAAGATGAACACACCTACGTCCCAAGATGATGCCAATATGGCTGTTATAGGAGGTATTAGCAATATCTTTCCAGAGCTAATTATAGGGTGCATTCCAACATGGCCCCAAAGCACTAACGGTAAAGCCAGCAGCATAGATGGCAGGTGGTAAAAGTGCCAGTGTATCCTATGTATTAGGAGGTACTCCCAGATCAGACCTGCATATCTTTGACACAAGGACAGATATTTTTTTCAGCCAAATGGCTGCCCTTTATTAGTATGTATGTGAAAACATGCATGCATGTACATATTCATGCACAGTGTGTACATTTTGGGGCATCCAAGGACAAGAGTGTGTTTTGGTCTTGTTTATCCCTTGAGGTTAGCTAAGACTATCCATCCTCTTGGCACATTTTATTTCTTGATATGCAGGGTGTTATATCATTCATTTTGGGTAGTGCTTTTGGAGGTAATGATCCCAGGAGTAATGGCCGTTTCCATCCTTGCTCTGAGCTTTTTTTCTTTAAAAAATGCACTGGAATCATCCAACTTCCCTGTTCAAAGGCAGGCCTCTGCCTCCTGTGTATATTTTGCATGTTTTGACTCAAAAGAAATGGTTAAGCAGTTTTAGAGGGGAACAAAGTTGTTCATCTAGTACATGAAGCCATTATGCAAAAGCCCTCACTTCTTTACCACAGTGCTGAAACCTTGACTAACACCATTTTCAAGTCGTATTAGTGTATTTGACATATCTCTACTGCCTGCTTGTAGAGGTTCAGGCATACAGCTCTGGGCAGAGAATTCATTCAGGGGGACGATTGCATTAGAAGCCTATTCTGCTGCTCTCCAGATAACCTCTGAAGGAGCCACGTTATCATCCCATTAAAGGCTAGGAAGTTAAGTCTTTTGTACATCAGGGCTGTAATTCATAAGAGGACAGAATCCTGTACCCTATCAATTTCATCATTTGTATTGTTATGGAAACTATATAACTTTTCCATAATTGAATCTGAAAATTGAAGGCCTGCAGATTCAGGAAGAATGTGACTTGGCGGGACTTGGTACGCAAAGGCCAAGTTGGTGCAAGAACATAAAAACAAACAAGATTGTTGATGTGATCCATTCGCTATGTGTCCACTCCTCCAGTGGAAGCTAAAGGTAGATCACGATGCATGTGCAGGATTTTGATCCGATTCCCACGTTGTCTAAAATCCTGCATTATGTATTAAAAGCATGGGGAATTCTGGGAGTTGAAGTTCAAATCGCTTAAAGTTGCTGAGCTTGAGAAAGATGGATCTAATATAGAAGTTTAACTACACACTTGAGCACAGACCTCAATTACTTTTAATTATAAATAAAATGTAAGGAATGGGCTCTAGGTTCCTTCCTCCATAAATTCCTCATCGCTCAGTGCTGTTTTGCTTCATTTCTTTTAATCTTGTTCTACCATTTAGAGTCATAGGTAGAAAGGCCCTCAGACTAAAAGGCCTTGGGGTCCCTAGATTGCTATAGTTCTAACACTATTAACATTAGCTCCCCTTAACGATCTCTAGCTTTTTACTTTCAAATGTTATCTTTCTGACAGCAAATGTAATGGTAGATAAAATGGTAAAGGGAAGGCGGGGTTGTCTGTGCTACAGAAAAAAAAACAGGTAAGATAGAAGCTTGTTCTCAGGCTCTCAGGCTAACGATTGCTTGATCTGTTAGATCTGCTCAGAAACAATCCGTTCTAAAGTTTCTTTTCTCTATTTTGTTTCAAGCTGTTATCGCCGTGGTTTTTCTCACTCTTCTTTCAGTCGTTGTGATAATTGTTGTTTACCTGTACAAGAATAAAGGCAACTACCACACCTATGAACAACCTGAAGCAGATCCAGAGGGATCAGTCCAAATGGAAGATTTCCCCTGTAAACGTGAAAAAGAAGAGTATTTCATATAGAAGATACCAGACTGCTGCCGTGTTTTAGACTGTCCTAACTTAAATGAACAGAAGTTTTAAGTTTGTCATTCTTTTACTCAAGGAATTAAATGTGTATTAGTAAATGTTGTTTATATACTGGTAGAACTCTGGCTTAAATAAAAGTAGTTGAACTAGGCGTTCTACCCCTTAGCGGCAACACACACAAGTTATTTACGGACTGCAGTGATGCGACCCTGAGATTACAATGCAGAATGGTCATCACACTGTCCAATTCTAATTATCTAACATTAGAATAGGCAAATAGGCACCTCTTAACCCCAGATAGTTTGCTATCTGGTATAGGAAAGAAAACACCAGGGTGAGGATTGACCCAAATGGTAGCTATCTTTTTTCACATCTTATCCACAGGTAAAGCAAACACTAAAACCCACTTCAAACCAAAAATATATTTAACATGCAAAACTGCTTTTTTTGCTGTTCATAATCCTCCACACATAGAAGTTTTATGAACTTCTAATGTCAGGAGAAACTGCTCTAGGGGTGCTGCTTTCAGTTAAGCAAACCAACTCCAAAGCTCCAAAAAATGAGCTGCCTTATTTTTCCTAATCCTTCTTAATAGGAATATTTCTCACACGTTCCTTAATGGGTCTTTTATTCATTCATTCTAAGCCCGCAATGTAGTGTCTATGCATGTCAAACCTTTGGTTCTGTGAAAAAACATCTGCATTCATAGTTTCAAACATGTGCTTTTACAGTCTAACGGAAATTCCTAAGCTTCCAATATATCAAGAGGAATAATAATGAAATAATTTGTATGGAAATGCATTGCATGAGGGCAAATATTGTCATAGGTTCAGAAAGCAAGAGGAAGAATTTGATATGTTAACAGCGCTTGACAAAAGATTGTTATCTTTAAGATACTTGGAAAACAGTGAAATAAAATATTTACTTTTGTATCATTGCATTCAGGCCTACATACAGTTCTGAACATTTTTAGAAGCATATTGGTGTACTGTATTCTTATTAACAGAAGCAGGAGAAAGATTTCTATTGGAACTGTGGCATATGGAAAGGAAAAGTTTTAAAGTTTTAACTCTTTCTCTCCCATGACTCGGTCCCAAATAATCCACTCTACATTGATGTCATCTGAGAAAAGAACGCATACATGGCTCTTAATGACAATTCTTTTCTGGAACTAATAGCAGTTTTATGGAAGGAGGAGGTTTTAACTGCATTAATGTAAAGAAAGAATACTAACTGGCTTCCTAATGACACACTTAACATTGTTATGTAGCAGTACATGTGTTTATAACATCCCTATATCATATAATTTATCATTTTTCACACTGACAGCACCGTGAACAAAGGAACAGATACAAAGGCAAACTCAATTTTAAAACTTGCAGCATTGCAATGGACAGGAATTTAAGAGGCTAAATTCAACTTTGTCACTTTATTCAAATTTTCAAAATAGCCTTTATTCTACTTGTTTTTAGTATAAAAAGTCCACAAGTTAAGTGCACCACAGTGTTTACAGAGAGACCTAGAATCCCAACCTTCCATTAACAGTCAGCTGTATGGATGACCATGACACATACAACACACAGAAAATTAAGATAAAATATATTCACCAAATCTGATAATTTTTTAATTCATAAAAACAAAAGCAACAACAACAACAAAAGATTGAGGATCCCTGAAATATTCTTCTTAATCCTAATAAGACTTCATTGTACCCAACTCACTTTTTTAAATGTTTGCATCTAAAAAAAAACAACAAAAAAAACCCCATCAATCCAGCAAACTTGCACACTGATTGACAACTACCAGACATTTTTTTTGTCTCTCTAGCCTGAATAACATTCCACTTAAAGAGTTTTTGTTATTACGACACTGGGTTGCTTCCCTCCCCCACACCCTTTTTTAAAAAATGGTTTTATTTTTAAGCTCTTTTGTTTTGTTTGTTGAAACATACAGGAAGCATTTAATGAAATGTTGTATTTCTGGCACCAAAACATGGCTTCAGTTAGATTTTTAATGTGCAAAGGAGTCCAAGATCACTTAAGAATATATAAAAAAGGACATCCTGGGACATCGCTCTAGCTGCATACTTTCCTAGCAAAGGAACAGAGAGCAAAGGTGAGTAGAAGGAACCAACCGAGGGGTTCTGAAATGGAAAACTGAGCCCCCCCCATCATACTCTTCCAACAGGCATCCGCCACAGATGCCCCCCCCAAACATTATGTCTGACTATCTTTCTCCCCAGCACCATTGATTCTAAGGAAAAGGAAAGATGGATCTTAGTCCTAGTCATTGGCAACAGGTATATCTGATCTGCAAGCTTTGTACGTTTGATATGTGGAAGCCAGTTTTCTTCCAACTTCCGTTCCTCCCTCCCCCGACCATTTCTCATCCCCAACCCCAACCCCATTTTTATATATAGTTGATTAATAAAAGCCAGACACAGAGAAAGAGAGCTGCAGTGAAAAGCACTCTCTCGGTGGAACTAAAGGGAAATTTGATAGCTTAGCTCACATTCATTTCACAATTTAACCCCCAAGGTTTAAGAGAGGCACTCCTACCATTGCATGGTTTTGTATTTTAAAATTTGCTTTGTTTTGTTTTGTTTTTTAAAGAAAAAGTGCCTGAAGGGTCAGGGCACCAGGAAGACACCCCGCATCATCATGTGTCTAAATTGCAACTCCAGGTTAATACGACTAAAGCGGTTACATTGTGAGAAGTGCTGACAGTATGTGATGTCGTCCCTTTACACCAATGTAGCCCCCCCTCTTCCTTCACCAGATGGTGTAGCCACCATCAGAGCCCCCCATGAAGAAGTTGCCCTTCCGTTGCGTCACTAGCACATTGGCACCCTGCATGACAGCCAGCTGGGCTGCATTGGGAGGACAGCCAGGAGGAGGAGGCTGAAAGAGAACAACAGCAACAGATTAGAGGGATGCCGTAAGACCAGGCTAACAAAATGCAGACCACAGATTCGACAGAGGCTGCCTAGCTGGGCTGCAAACATCGGTTTTAGCAAGCTTCTTGCATGGCGTCCAGGATGCATGAGTTACACTAAGCTAGATTTTATTTCAAACTGTATGGTTGGATGACTAAACTATAGCAGGCTAGGATATCTTTTTTAACCTGCTTCCCTGACAATTCTGTAGATAAGTTAGGTTTGCAAATCAAGCAGGCTATCCTTTCAGAAAGGTAACTCCTCAATAAAGATGGACTCACTACAAGATCAAAGCATCCTCAGAAAAGCATGCTCAGTGTCACCTTGAGCTCGAGGAAATGTATTTATGTTATTCTCACTAACGTCTACAGAGATAAAAGCATAAGAGACACTGGACCCTTGCAGGCGGGCCTTTTCCCTGCCTTATCTCACAGTTTATCTCACCTTAATACTTGAGGCCAAAAATCCTTAAAATCCTTTGTATTTACAATTGTGAAAATATAGAGAAAATGATTTCATTTGCATCTTGGAAACTGCGCATACAGCGTAATATACCATTATTATCGTGAAAGGGTTAGGGAGGGGGACTAGTTTCATAATCCTCTTTCAGAGATAGCAAATACAATATTCTGTGCCTACTTACAGGGATATTAGCAGGAGCACTAGTTGCAAACCTTGCTCCAGAATCAAAGCCACCTTCCACAAGTAGAGTAGACCCAGGAGGATAGACAGGGCCAACAGGATAAAAAGCCACTGGAACTGAAGAGCCCATTGGCCCCATAGCTACAGATTGAGCCATAGGAAGGTACAGTGAAGCACCAGGATAAGCTGCAGACATAGTAGGTACAGTGGCAGCTCCGGGATGTACAAAACTTGGGCGGTACAGCTGAGGAAGAAAGCACACATAAAGCATTCCTTATGGCTTTATACTCGGAAATTCTCCTTCTCAAAGCTCCAGTTTCTACTTAGAAAGACGTTTTGCCACAGATAATGGAAATAAGCTTTCGAAATTAAGCAAAAATAAATCAATGTAGACCAGCTGACAAGATATCTCTGGGAAGTTCAAAACAGGACATACAAAGTCTATAGCTTTCTCTCATTTGTCCTTTGCCTTGTAAAACTTTTGACTTTTAAAAGAGCATCTGAACCAAAGTCCATAGTTAGTCTTAAGTGCCAGTTTGAAAAATGGAAAGAGGTTCAGTATAAAACATTATTTTCATTTACATTCACCTAAAGTTGAAGTTATACACTTCTGCTTTTGGCATCAAGGGGTATCTTGATCATCATGTGGACCTTGAAGTGCTCAGGCAGATGTATAATTTCCATATGATGAAATCACAACTCATACAATGAAAACATTTGACAAAACTATCTCCAAAAGAATTGGAAACTTTCTAGAGAACATCCTTGTCACTAAATCAGCAGTATGGTAGTAACCTGTCTGGATCATCAATTATCAATCACAGCTATTATTTTACTCAATGAAAAGATGTTTTTGATCTGATCCAGAAAGTCTTATGTTATTTCTTACAACAGAAAGTGATTGGAGTACATACTTCTGAGTAGGCAGGAGGGGCATCAGTATAAGGTGGAGCCTGAGAAAGTGGTATGGTCTGTGGGAACACAGACGGATTACCAGGAGATTGAACTGGATAGGAAGGCTGTGTAGGGTATTGACCTAAGAAAAGAAATTAATCAATGTCAGCACAATTGTCTTTCTTGTAAAAGACCAGGAAGTGTATGAAATAAGAAAATCCCCTCCTTGGGAGCTTTATCTGAAAGAAAGAAAAAACTTCAAACAAAAAACAATATATCTAAACAGCAAAAGAGCTATTCTTTAATATGCAAAACTGCATAGATGAGATCCAGGTGATATCATTCAAACCAGCTCTCCCATTAAGCTTAAGAACAAAGATAGTCAATAATTACATTGTATTTTTAAATGGACAGTGCCATCTCATGGGCAACATTAATATTTTTCAGAAGTCAACAAATTAATTACTTAACCATTCTCTCGATTGGATACTAAATCTATTTTAAATCCACTGGTTTAACTATCAAGCAAGCAAAATCAATGAGTTGCTTGCTTGATAGTTATAAGGGTGCATGGGCATTTCTTCCAATATATACAATATTGCACATATAGCACCTTTACCCAGATTTTAGGGTTCTACCCCTGACACACACACACACCAAATAAATTGCCTATATTTTGCTATTTCCAAAATAGTTAGACTATTCAAATGCCTCATCCTGGCCTGCCACACACAATCAAAGGAAGCATATGCCGAATTCAGCTATAAGGAACTAGATTTTACAAGAAACTAGACATTACCCTCCAGCCCCTTATACTTGAAATTTTAAGTTGGCTCTCTCATTAGGTTGCCCATCCCTGAGCATATAGCTTTCATTTGGACAATACGCTCAAGCAGTCAGATTGTTTTGTGGCTTAAAATAGTTTAATTAATACTCTGTAGGTAGGTAGCATTTAAGCAATAATGTATTGAAAAAAGTCATAGGAAGCAATGAGAAATAACTAAAGGGCATACAGAGTTAATACCATCAACTCATAATCATTTATACATTTATAAGCTAAATTAATTCAGTTGGGGCAACCCTTTTTACTGGGGACTATTTAATAAGCTTTGTGACTCAGAGTCACTTAAGTCCAAATAGTTCATATTCTGAGCTCAAGAGGCCATAATGTTTTAAGATTAATCAGAATTTTTTTAATTTATGTTTTGTACTTTTATTCTCAACAGCTTATACTGCCACATTGCACATTTTAAGAAAATTACTGAACTGTACTCTTTCATTTTGGAATGTGCTGGATTTAAACAGATAGGATATCCCATTTAGAGCAATGTTTGGACTATGAACCAAACCAGTTCTATTTTTTTTTAATTCATGAGAATTAAACTGTAAACTTGGGTATACCAGTTCAAATGCAATCCTAAATCTGGCCAGATTTGCTTCCTGAAAAGGATGAAACTATCAGTGTAGTATTTTAACCAACTCTTACATGCCCCCACTATCCAAGTATGATCCTGCAACGTGTTTTCCTTTCTTTTAGGACCTGCCAACAAAAAGTACACCTCTCATCCAAGAAGTAATGAATTAAATGTAGGGCAACACCTAATAAGGAGCAAAAGGAGAAACGAACGTGTGAATCCTTCCCACGTTTTGTGATTTGCTTCTGCATTCTGTGGTTCATTGTTCATTTCTTTCCAATTTTACTCTAAAGGCGGGAGGGCACATTCTGGTCTCAAACCCCTCCCCGAGGATCAAACACAATTTCTCCCTTTAGTCATCCTTCCAGCCTGTGTCCAACCTCAGCCTCTCCCTACAGCACTTAAATTTACAAAGGAAATAAGGAACGTTATAAGACAGAGCCACCTTTTGATAGGAGAAAACGATGCCCCTGGGCTCGTGTGTAAACCCTTAGCATACTCTTTGCAAGCAAGGGGAGAAATTACCTCCATTTCAAAGCATCCCATGTAACACCAGGGATTGTGTACACAGAACAAGAATGGTTTGGCTATTAGTTCTGGAACTTTGGCATCTAAATCCTTTTCAGGACTAACGGGGTAGAGAGCACAGTATTAGGCCCCATGCCTGCCCATTGCGGTCCTGTGCCAAAAGGGGAGCTTCCCACCAAAGGGTCGACTTCAAGGGACTTTTTTTTTCTTCTACAAGTCAAAGCTGCGATCCTCCCCCGAAAGCTCTGGCGACCGGGCTCTTCTCCCAAATTTCAGAGTGTTCGCGTGCACGGGGCACCTACGGGCTCCATTGCCAGAGAAATTGTGCCACCATAAAAAAAAATCTTTCCCCGTGCGGTGTCTCCGGACTCCCGTTATTTCCGGCGAACATCTGGAAAGGGAAAGCAAGGGCTCTCTTGGCCCACGAACCCCCCCCCGTTCCAAGGGCAGCAGCCAAAGGGTTAACAACCTGCCAAGGAAGGTTACGTCATAGCTACCCAACCTGAGCCCTTCCCCCATTGCCGTCACCCCGACTTCGCCCGGCTTTCTATTGGTCAGGGCTCCCGCCAGTCATTGAGTAGGCCCGCACATAACAACACTGCGGCGGTAGCCTTAAAGGAGCAGCGACCCTGCTAAAGGTGAGGCCATTGGGTGGGGTTGTGGGGGGGAGAGGAGGAGGAGGAGGAGGGGGAAATCAGCCTCTTGCCTTTGCTGTTCATGATGGCGGCGTTGCAAACGAACGAACAAGAAGGACGGTTCACCCGACTACGAAAGGTTCAGGCGACTCGCTAGCTTTAGCAACGGCGGCGACCCTCCTCGCTCAACCACTTCCTTGTTGTTGTCGCCGCAGCCCTGATGAAAGGGGTTACGTTACCAACGCGTGACGTCACGCCGCAGCGCTGCCGCGAGGAACGGAACGGAAAGAGCGACCGGCTGTGTCAAGGGGTGTGGCCACAGAGGCGAGGGGGCGTGGCGCTCCGTCTCGAACAGTCAGCGGGCGGAGGAGGGGAGCCGAGGGAGCTGTTCTAAATACTGCCTTGCCAGTTGTTAGCTATCCCTTCGTGTTTACACATTCACATTCATATATTTATTTACCATGTTTATAGAGCCGCCCATCTCACAAACAGATGAACTCTGGGCCTTATACAACAACTGTTAGCTCCACAACAACCTAAAAACAAATAAATAAACAGATGAAGCGGTTAAACATAAAAAGGAAAAAAGAGCAAATATTACTTAATATGCAGCCATCTTGCAGCCCCCCCCCCAACATGGGATCACCAAAAATCAGGTTTTAAAGACCTTTCTCAAGGTTTTCAGAGGTGGGCTAACTTCACCGGGAGGAGAGAGGGAGGGAAAACGACCCACAGCATACCGTTCCTGCCTGGCCTGGTGGGATATGTAGATGTAATTGGGAAACGATGGTCCTTCAAATACCGGAACCCCATGCCATGTAGGACTTTAAAGCTCAAAACAAGCACCTTGAATTGCACCTGGAAGCTAACGGGAATTGAGGTATCATGTATGCCCTCTTAGGGACACAGATAACGATTTGTGCAGCCACATTCTGCACCAGCTGAAGGTTCTAATCTAATTAGTCTTCAAAGGCAGCTCCTCATACAAGCCATTATAGTAATCCATTCTGGATATGACCAAGGTGTGAGTGAGTGTGGGTAGAGCCTCGCAATCCAGAAAAGGATGCAAGTGGTGTACAACATGAAGCTGTGCAAAGTCTCTCCTAGCCATGACTGCCACCTGCAGTTAAGGTTAAGAAGGAGCCCCAGATTCCAGACTATCCCCATTACTTTAGACCAGGGGTAGGCAACCTTGGCTCTTTTATGACTCGTGGACTTCAACTCCCAGAATTCCTGAGCCAGCTATGCTGGCTCAGGAATTCTGGGAGTTGAAGTCCACGAGTCATAAAAGAGCCAAGGTTGCCTACCCCTGCTTTAGACTGTCCCATCCAAAACCAAAGGTGACAAAGTCCCAAAGCCAAAAAGACCACAAACCCAGATCCATTTAGTCTTGCCAGGGTTCAGCTGAAGCATATTGTTCCCCATCTAAATCCCTACAGCCTCCAGGAAACTAGGATAAGACATCAACCACAGTTCGCCAGGTGTGGAGATATATAACTAAGTACCATCAGTATGCTGATGATATCTTACCCCGTGGCAACAGATGATTTCATACAGTAGCTTCATAGGAGTGAAGAGAGTACCAAACTCTGTGGAATATAATAAGGGTTGAAGACAGGACCTCTCATTCCCAATTAACTCCAACCGTGTACTGGTACCAGCTCCACTGAAAGGAAAAGAACCAGCACAGTACTGTGCCGCCCACTCCCAGCCCAGAGAGCCATGCCAGAAGGATACTGTGGCCAGTGGTGTGGAAGGCTGGCAAGAGATTATGGTGAGGAAAGACAGATGGACTATCTCGTCCCATTCCCAGCACAGATAATCCAAAAATATGACCAGTGCCATTTCCATTCCAAATTCAGGTCTAAATCCCAACTGAAAGGAGTCCAGATAATATGCTTCATCCAGGGCTCTAAAGATACTTTGCAACCATCTTGTCCACAATACTGGACAAAAACTGTCCAGTGTAGTAGGATCCAGTGATGGCTTCTTGAGGAGGGGGGCAAATCAATTATGCTTTGTTCCAATCCCTCTTTCAAGGAAGAATTAACCACCACTAAGATGCAACCACACAAGACCTTTTGGACAGCCGCCACTAGCATGAGGGCAGGGATCTAAGTAGCAGGCTCACTATTCTAAGCACCTTGTCCACTTCTTCAGGTTCAACAAGATCAAACTGTTCCCAGATAACCAATCAAGACAGTACCTCAACATCTCCCCTGGACCTGGACCAAAATTGGCATCCAACCTGGAATGATTGTGAATGATTTTGTCCAACAGATGCTGTGCGAATGTCTCCACCTGGCCTTGTAGACAGACTTCTGAATCCTCTTTCCTTAGGAGAATGCAGGTCACCTTAAACCAGGTTGTCCTAAATACTGGCTCTTGTGTTTGGTCAAGTTTAATTGCCAAATAAAATCAAATACAAATGCAATACAACTAACAATAGCAATAGCACTTAGACTTATATATCACTTCACAGTGCTTTACAGCCCTCTCTAAGCAGTTTACAGAGTCAGCATACTGCCCCCAACAATCTGGGTCCACATTTTACCAATCTCAGAAGGATGGAAGGCTAGGTCAACCTTGAGCCAGTCAGGATCAAACTCCTGGCAGTGGGCAGAGTTAGCCATACAATACTGCATTCTAACTACTGTGCCACCACAACTAAGAGAAATAAAGCCTTAAAAATGTGTAAGTTCCTCCGAAGCATTGAAATGACACCCAAAGAGATGCTCCAAAATTAGAATGCCACTACAGAAAAGACCCTTATCCAGTCACTTAGTTAAATTAAAATTTTAAATTAAAAAGTTATATTTTATCTTCTTGATCTGTTGAACATCTTCTCAGTCTCTCATTCACAAGGTTCTTCTCCTAAGAAAAACTGCTTCTAGCCGGATATCAGCTAAGCTCATTTTAGTGCAATATTTGTACTAAAGCAATAAGCTATTTTAAATAAAGGGGTTTGTTTATATAAATTGAGTATGAACAAACAAAAAATACATTCAAAATATGTAATCCTAAATGCCACAGCATACAAAAAGATATGACGAGTGTTTAATTTCTTAAATATTTTATAATATATTTTTTTGTATATTTGCTCTAGAAACAGTCTCACTACATGCAGTAATGCTTATTCCAAATAAATGTGAGAGTGTTGCATCCCAAACTGTCAGATGTGACAAGGAACAATCAAATATGCCCTCTTTTCTGTATGCTGCAAGATCTCAGTCAAATGAAAATAGAGGCACCTTCATACATTTACTCCTCAACTTACATTTACAATTGTAACCAGAATTTCCACTGCTAAGCAAGGTGGTTAAGTCATGCCCAATTCTGCAACCTTTTTTTGCCGTGGTTATTAAGTCAATCACTGAAGTTGTTAAGTGAATCATGAAGCAAATCCAGCTTCCCCATTGACTTTGCATGTCCGAAGCCATCTGGGAAAATAGCAAATGATGATCACATGACACCCCCCCCCCCCAAATGCTGCAACTGTTGTGAATACATGCTGGTTGCCAAGTGCCCAAATTTTGATCACATGACTATGGGGAACGGTTGCTAAATGATTGGTTTTAAGTTGAGGACTACCTTCCAAGAAGTAGCTTTATGTAATTCATTTAACAGCAGTTTGATTGCAATGAAACCTGGAAAGTTCTCATAGTAACGCCTGAGGATGAAGAATGAATGGTTTTAATTATTACCAACTTATGTCTCCTACAAAGAATGAGGAAGAAATTTGATGGCTCTTTTGATGCCACTGTAGGCAAAGATTTCCAAGATCAGAAAATACTCTACAGTAATTCCAAAACACTGCACAATTATCTATGTTGCAGAAGACTAGCTCTCTTTTACCTAAGGCTTTCAGGTTACAGTATGTTACACTGCAACTCCCATTAATCATGCCAATTATGTATAATTGTAGTTGTATCCCAGCACTTACGGAGGGAGTTAGGCTAGGATATGCTGCAGTAGGCCGAAATTACAAGCGCAAAGCAGCACATTCCCCTGACACTTTGTTTAATTTAATCCCAGTTTGCTGAATAAGCCACAATGGTTGATTTCTTATATTGTGTTAAACCAAAACCCTGAAAAATCTCATTATGGCTTATTATAATGTAAGAAGTAGGTCTTAGTGTTGCATTGACTCTAAAGCCAATAAGGAATCATAAATCAACTCTGTGTGGCCCGTTGGGAATACATTATACATTAAGAAGCTATTTTCATATATTGATTAATACAAATCAATTTGGTTCTCTTTTTCTGCAAAACAACAATTCTCAGGGAGATAAAAATCACATGGGAAATTCTCAGGCGTTACTTTCCCAGTTGACGAACTGCACACATGTCCAAATCCATGCATATGAGATCAGTGGAAGACCTTGCACATAGATTTCAAGTTTAATTATGCCAGAAATATTTTAATCTGCACTAGAGAGTACTGTTCTTTCACATCAAAAGCAGGCTTTCTCACACTGCTGTTTTAGCATCAGCCTTAGCTAAGAATAGTACTGTAGTTATTTTAAGGGATAACCTCATGGATTTTATCGTAGCAGAAAAGTGGTGCAGGTAATCCTAGACATACAACCACAACTGAGTCCAAAATGTTTTAAGTGAAACAGTTGTTAAATGTGTTTTGCCTCAGTTTACAACCTTTCTTGCCACAGTTGTTAAGTGAATCACTGCAGTTGTTAAATTAGTAACATGGTTGTTAAGTAAATCTGGCTTCCCCATTGACTTAGCTGGTCAGAAGGTCGCAGAAGGTGATCACGTGACCCCGGGACACCGCAACTGTCATTAAGTATGAACTAATTGCCAAGCATTTGAATTTTGAACACATGGCTACGGGAATCGTCGTACGTGTGAAAAATGGTCATGTCAACTTTTCCAGCCTTTTTGTAACTTAGAATGGTCACTAAATGAACTGTTGTAAGTCTGAGGACTACCTGTATATTATTCTCCCATGCTTCCTAGGTATAGACAGACTTATCCCAAGGTTTCTGGTTACTTGCAATATTTTCTTGCAAAGTACTTATTCTGAGAACGATGATCAGCTTTTCAGATTCCTTCTTGGAAGCATTGCATTTCTTTTCCAAAACCCAATTGATGTTAGCTATCCTCCTTGGCTTCTCTCATCCACCAGATGGCTGTACTGAGTTTTTGAAACCCCAGTGCTGGAAATTCGTCCAACCCCAGCTTCATTCAATGCTTAGGACCCATTAGTGTTTGTTTCAGGGATCCATACTAACAAAATGAAGTTTGAATAGCCC